TGCAACATCGCGAACAATGTCATGTATGGAAAACTGCCACGCAACAAATAGGAGCATTTGAGTTGAGTGATCAATGCCTCCACCTTGACTCGTTCTTCTTCCAATGTAATTATGCCTTGAAATAAGCCCAATCCCAGGGCATATGTCAACAAGTTAAACATAGTCGCTTTACGACCCAATAGACTGCCCAACAAGAAAGTCAATTTATGTTCTTCACTTTCTAAGTAGTCATAACTTAGTTTTATGCCTGAACAGACATCTGCTGGTATTCCAGCAAGGTTTCTTGAGGAAGACCCTTCCGTTTCAGTTATTCGGATTATGCCATTTCAATTGATTCAAGGCAGCCTTCCGTTGGATGAAACTTTTATTCTTCAAAACCTTTGCAACTGTCACAATGGCTAGACGTAAACCCGCGCACCCGCGAGATACTTCTTTCGCTGTAGACAGCAAGCGAGGATGCTCAATACCATCACAAGCCATCTTCTTGAAAAAGTCCCAGGCTTCTTCTTCAGCTAAAACGCCAATTCCAAAGTTGGTTTCGACTCCCATCTCACTGGATAGAACATTGAGATCTCCAGATGTCAGCAGGATCTTGCAAGCCACCAGTTCATCTCCGCAGGGAATGCCGATTGCATTCAGATTTAGTCTGCTCCTTATGTCATCTAAAATCACCGAGGTCTTCGTGAACTTTAATTTCTGACGTACCCGATCCGCTCTCAGACGTGTAATATTTATGTTGTCAGTAAACTCCAAACCAATCTTGTCTGCAAACTTTTCTTGAATATTTTCCGTATCCCAAGCCATGGTTACATCTACCATGACCACTGCATCAAATAACTTGTTCTCCTTGGCTTGTCTAGCAACTTCTTTGACCAGGGTGGTCTTGCCCACACCAGTCAGCCCGTAACCGCCCATCATGTTTACATTTGCATCCTTCAATGCGTTCATAATCTCAGCCAAAGCATGCTCTCTTGACTTGAAGATGATTTCTGAAGCAGGTATATGGGCCACTCCCTCAAATTCGCCTTCTTTCAAGAGTTGAGCAATGGCCTTGAACTCCTTATCCACTTCCTTCCTGAGATGGTAACGAGGCATGAAATTCGGAAACAACTTCAGGAAACATCTCTTCCTTGCTGTTTCTTCAGCCTTGGATATTTTCACTTCCTCTTCAGTAAGCTTCTTATCGATCTCAATAAACCATCTATGGACACGCTCTGGAATCTCTTGCTCATTCTTTATAGCCACATCAACAGATTTCCGCACTTGGTTCCTTGCCTTCTTCAGTTTGTCAACTTCCTGCTTGAGTTTTTCAACTTTCTTACCAGGGTCCAACATGTGGTCGAATGTGTAGAAAATGCCTTGAGCAGCAGCGGGGATATGAACCAAAATGTTGTCCATTTCTTTGTCTGTTTCTTGGGTTTGAAATAGATGTGAAAAGCAAACCGAAAAAAGAAACTTGAGAGAGAAGCACAGAACAAGCAGCAAGCAAATTGAAAGAGAAGAATGTTTACAACCGGAATGTAAGGTAGGATTTCTTGTTCTTTTCGATGGAATATACATACAGTCAAATGGAGAAAACCGTACCTCTCCAACTTTATTTCTTTATCGCCTTTTTTTTTTTAACATTTTATATAAATTTATAAAACATTATAATTTTAAATCAATATTTTCAACTTTTTTTTCAGTAAAATATGACTTTATAAAATTAAAATTAAAATTAAAATTAAATAAATAATTAATGTAGGTAACAATTGACATGTGTTCATAATTGCCTCCCTTAATGATAATTTTGACGAAAAACCATTATTTTGTTATAATAATTTTTTTTCTTTTCACGACCAATATAGGAGAGCATTTTGAATTTGTAGCCTCAAATTAATATGAATTTTATTTAGTTTGAAAGTAAAAGAAATAAAATTAAAATAAGATTAAACTAAATTACACCTAAAAATCAAAGAAAATGAGTTGTCTAGCTACATGATACATCAATCATTCTATCAACAAAATAGAAATTATCATGATTTTCTTCATTAGCTTATAGTATTCGACCATCGACTTTAAGCATTGATATCACAATAATCATTTAACAAATTGATATGTTAAAATTTGAATAATATCAAATTTATAAAAAAAAAAAAAGGAAATACTGTTGAACACTTTTTTGAAATTTTAGAAATATTAAATAAATAATTTTTAACTTGTATAATATAATATGAATTTTTAAATTAAAATTAAATTAAAAATTTTTAAATAAATAATTAATGCACACATCAATTAACATTGATAGAATTAATGTTTGGTTACATTAGAAATTAATATAAAGACTAACAAGATACTTTTATAAATTGTAAAATCAAAGTGACATGTGCAAATTAATTATTCCTTTTTTATCCTCATTTTATTCGCTAATATTTCAATATTTTTGTTTCGAATAAATGTTAATGCATTTTTTTTAATTACTCTTTGATTTTTTTTGTCATAGTTCATCTTTTTTTTTTCTTGGAGGAAGAAGGAAAATCCTAATATTAGAATTGTCTATAAATCCTACTGACAATCTAGCAAGACTTGGAAAACTTTGTCTCATGCATATTACCACTACAAATTCAGTAAGAATTTAATAATTGGTTAAATTTCCAATTTCTCACAAAAATATGACAAGATTTGAAATCTTTATTTTTTTTCCTTCTTTAAATTCTTATTCTATTTCATTTTTCATATGCTTCGTAACTTTATTATTTACATCCTTTTTTCCCCTTATTTTTATTCTAAATTTTATTTGATTAAAAACACTTAAAACTCAACAATATATTTGAAAAACAAAAAAGGCAATTATGACTGCAATGCTCTTAACAAAACTCCATCATTGGAGGACTTGTAATTTTGAAACAAATAAAAAATAAAAATGAAACACAAGAGAAAATGTACCTTCGTATGGAGGGGATGGCCTTCCTCTCTTCGTCTTTATCGCTTGCTTCTTGTATTTATGGAGGGATGGGATGGGATGGGTTGGGGGTATTAGGTATGAGTAAGGTGGGCTATTTTAAAAGTGGAGGGGAAAACATCATTTGTGATGGAAAGAAGAGATTGGCAGTCAACCACATTTTTGTGTTCAATGAATCAATATTGCAAATGTAAGAGAGAATGGGTGAAGGGGACAAATAAAGGAGAGTATTTTCAAGTTTTATAATTATGAGTATAATTAAAAAGAAAAAAGAATAACAAACATAAGTGCATTCTTCAAAGAGTGAAAACGTTGCAAATTGCATAGGAGTTGTTCTTTTCTATGAAGCTATGCAAGTAAAGGTCTGTTTATTTTACAGTAATATATTTTTTGAAAAATATTTTTAAGACTTGTACTTGTTTGGAAGATGAAAAATTAATTTTAAATATAAAATGTTTTATGAGTCAACGGAGTTAATCACGAAAAATGTCTTATGTCATTGAAAAGTGTAAAATATTTTTTAGAGAATAACAAAAGCACTTTTATACTAAGTTTATGAGTATAAGTTAGATGAATATTAATATTTAACTTAAAATATTAAAAAAATAAAAATATTAATATTTAAATTTTAAAAAGTTAATTTAAAATATTAATATATAAATTATAAAATACTATTAAAATTTTAAAAAGTATTTTTTAATGAAACCATTCAATACAATTAAATTTTTTATCTATAATTGAAATAAATCTTACTAATAATTATAATAAAAAATATTCCAATGATCATCTTTTGATAAGTACACATTTAGAATAAGTTTAAATCTTACTAATAATTATAATAAAAAATATTTCAATGATTATCATTTAATGAATACATATTTATAAGTATAAATTTTAGATATCTTACCTAATTGATGAATATTTATATTTTTATAATTATAATAAAAAAGTAATAAGATGAAAATTTTTTAAAAAATTAAAATTTATTTGTATTACAGATATATGATTAAATGTTTTAAAAAATATCATTATTGATTTTGTCTATTTTTATTTTTATTCTTAATCTTAATCGTGAAAATCCAATATCAATATTGTTTTATAATCAACTTGCATTTATTATTTTAACACCTAAACAACTCTACCGTGATGAAAAATACTTTTCATAAAATTTTCCAAACAACAGAAAATGCTTTCGACAGTTTATGAAAAACATTAAATTTTTCTGTAAAATATTTACACCAAAAAAAAGTTTATTTCAACAAGTTATTTTTCAATTACCAAAAAGACCTTAAGTGGTATAAACTATTCTTCAATAACGGCAGTTATGTATGACCAATTCTATAAGGGAAGAAAACTCAAACAAAACTCGCCAAGCCAAATCTTGCTGGCTCTAGAACATCAAAGCCGCAGTAAGAATAGCTTTGGTTTTGAAAATGACAAGCTATGGACTATGTAGCCTCCTGCAATATTTGAGCCCACTGCAGCAATAAGAGAGACTTGACTCGACCTGGTTCACTGGTAAATGCAACCCTAACAAAAAATCGTTATACTGCTTACTTTGAAACTAAAATCTACTGTATTTTTCAAGTGCAAATTTAACGCTGTATATTCTATGTTTTAGTTTTCTTTTTCAATATCTACGACAGGCTCGACATTTGCAGTCAAAAGTTCTCAAAATCGAGAGAATGAAAGAGAGATTTAACAATCATTTTCCACTTCATATAAGAGTCTATGGGTCAATCTAAATCACTTCAAGATCCCAGACTAAACGATTTTCATTCCAAGTAGTATCTGCCTTTACGTTATACACATTGGATGGAGGAAGTCAATTGTCTAAGTACCATATAATAAGGCGAAAAGGAAGCACCCTAGTGAATTTCACCAGCTTTAGACAAAAGAAAAGAAAAAAACTTTGATTACAACTCCTGACTTCCCAGTTGTCAAATATGGCTTACAAGCCTCCATGCCTCTGATGTACCTGAGAAATGAAGTCATTACAAACTATTTCTCATTGTCAAGCTCCGTTTTAGTGCTATATAGGCAAGCGAGAGAGAGTCTTCCAACCTGAATTATTAGAATGATGATGAACCCAGTGATGAATATCCAGCAGCTTTCATCTCCTTAAGAGTTCCAGCTAACCAGTCCAAGCCTTCATAGAGACCATCTCCTCTAAGCGCACAAGTCCCTTGTATGTGCCACTTTCTGTTCTTTAGATCAAAAAGGCCTAGTCCGTCACATACCTCCATTGGGGTCATTGCTCCTTTCTGGACAGAGAAAACAAAAGATCAAATTAAACAGACATTTCATGCAAAAAAACTCAGATGTATGCTTCACATGTACAAGGAAGCAAAAAGCAACAATGGCTCATTCACTTCAACTAGCAAGCTCAAAAGATGCCTATTGAAACATCCTTTTATTAGGAGGTAAAATTAAAGCTGGTCGATGGAAGCATGTGGTCAATAGAAAACTATCAAAGTTTGACCATTTGACCTACCAATCAAGTGGCCCCTCCCTGGAGCATGAGGGATTGTGATGACAAATTTCCGACTAATCTGACACAGTTTTGCATAACCATATATGAAAGAAAATTTTGGTAAACCAGATGATAAATTTAATAGTTGGATGTTGGGGTTAAATGTAGTACAAGAAACTAGTATAGCCTGAAGTCACTTAGTAGAAGCAAACTTCATTCAGACCCCCAGAAAGATGATGGGGAATAAATATTTTTTGCCAACATGTAGAAGGGAGAGGCTGTTGTTCAATTTGGAAAGTAACATGATAGTATAGATCAAATTCAAGTTACATGTACTGCAACTTTATATATATATAGTCCCAAGATGCTTAGATCTATTGCAGCTGAAGCAAACATTTGGAGATTCCCAGATGGAAGACACATCATTGAGTGCAGCATTGATGAATTCTTTCACTTTATGCCCTGTTAGCCATCCAACTCTTTCTGAGATGAATTCGCCAGTGCTGCACTCAATCATGTGTTTTGCTTCACTGAAACAAAGGCCATCAAGATTCAAGAGAATATTCATGCTACAGGTTTTTTCCTCTCTTCCTCAGTTATTCTTCTTCGCCTTTTTCTCCAATGTTTTGGAAATTAATGTCTTAGGAATGGTAAGCGAACCTGATATCACTATAGTTATTAGCAATTCTTCTGTTCTTGATGGAAAATCAAAAAATCAATTTCTTCTTCCAAGTTAACTTTCCGTTCTCAGGATCTGAACGGTTAAAAAAGTTTATTCAAATGATGTACTGCAGCATTTCAATAGCTTAATTGAAATACACTTTCTTAACACCCAAAAAAAGGAGGATCCATAAGAAGCACAACAGCAGCAGATGTGAAGACAAGAATCCCTTTTCAAGAATAAATATTTCCAGAGGTTGTCATTCAAACTACTCAAATTGCATGCCCGTGTTCTCAATAGTTCATCTAATAGATGCCACTTGCATTTTGCAAAATATGCAGAAAGGCATAGGTCTAAAACCACTAATAGAAAACATACCATGTCCTGCTTGTTGGCAAACACCAAGATGACACTGTTGCGCATAAATGGGTCATTGATGATAGCCTGAAAAGAACATTAACAATAAAATGAGACAATGTTAATCCCAAATGTCTTAACAAGTTTGTGTACACTCTAAATTTACAACCTGAAATTCTTGTTTAGCTTTCCCAATCCGCTCTCGGTCCAAGGAATCGACAACATAGATCTGCACAGACAAAGATATAAAAGAGAGATATGAATGATCTAATCCTTTCAACCAGTGATAAAGAACATGAGCACAAACATTTTAACATTTTGAATCTTTAAGTTTTGAGAAAACGCTGTGAAATATTAACCAACACAAATTTATAAAATTCCTCCTATGTTTGATATTGTACGTAATCCCTCAGATTTCAATAATACAACTTTCCCTCCAAAATGAAAACAAAAGATAACATCATGCAATAAAACAAATTTTTGAAAAAATGGCAAAATCAAGGAAACAAGCAGCTACAAGATAAAGAGGGAATATGTCTGATATGAAAATACTAGAAGGTTTTGCAATCTAAGGACCCAATAAATGGCGAATATTGGGGTCAAAATCAATCAGAACAAACAATTAAAGGGAGAGAAAATATTTTTTTCACGAGAGAGAGAGAGAGAGATGCTATATCTTACCAGTCCATCTGTATTATTAAAATAGTGCCTCCAGAGTGGCCTTAGTTTCTCTTGTCCACCAACGTCCCAAACTGTGAATATCACATTCTTATATTGAACTTTCTCAACATTGAAACCTGGAGGAGACAACAATAAGAACTCCAGTTGTTATATCAACTTGTCTATCCACCTCCACAGCAAAGTTCATTAGATCTAAGTTAAAGCCAAGAAGAAATTATTTTTTCGTGTAATAAGCCACGAAAAAATTTTCGAAAAAGAGGGATGGATCCAAAGATTATACAAGGAAAAGGAAATAAGACCACAAAACTAATCAATGGTATATGCCAAGAGGAAATGAAAACAGATTCCAAAGACTATATAAGGAAAAGAAATTAAATCCAAAAACCTTATCAATGATATATCTAATAAACACTGAATCAGACTTCACACAACCCAGCCACTTTGTTCAGATAATACATATGAGGATGAAGGCTAGAGAAGTGCGATCTCACTGTCCCATACAACAACCATATTGCTATTGAAAGCTGGTGCGTGATACAGTCATGGAGAAACTGCATGAATTATTAGCTAATACTTGTTATTGACAAACGGGTCTAAACAAATCAGCAACAAAAGCCAAGAGGACAACTAACATGATAAAAATGTATTGAATAGTAATATTTCTTTAGACCACATGATCCCTTTTACAGTGATTTGGCCAAATGAGAAGAACAATCATTTCATTGATGCAAAAGAAAATCCAAGCAAAGTAAGGGCTAAGGGCCCAGTAGTCCACTCGGACAGGTTAGCTAGTTTTATGAAGCGTTAAAGTTTAACTTTATCTTCAAGGATTGCATTTGGAAAAGGAAAACAAAAATGAAAATCAGTTTTAGTATTATGGTTTTAGCCTTTCCAGAAGCTGTGCCTTGCATATCTCTTTTAGGGAAAAGGGATGTGTCAAACAACAAAACTAAAATAATACAACATGATCCAAGCATTTTGAAAGAGCATCATCTAAAAGTCTATTTATACTTTAATGAGAAGTAAGAAAAAAGAAAGAAAAGAGTAATGTTAACAGCTCTGGTGAGGACCAAAAAAAACACAGCAAAATACAAGAGCCTCAATCATATCATAAACATTTGTAAAATCAAGTTTTCTTGAGCTAAGTTGCCTACCAATAGTGGGGACAGTTGATAAAACTTCTCCAATGTGCAACTTGTACAATATAGTTGTTTTGCCAGCTGCGTCAAGGCCTAGCATCACTACCTAAGCCAGCTCCAGAAAAATTACACATAAGAAAGGAGTACATAAAGTGAAAAAAAAAAAAGTCAACAGCACTCATGTCTAGTCATAAAAGCAATTTAAAAAACTAGAAGAGCCTTCAATAATGCCCAGATGTGGTACAGAAAAGACATGTTAAATATGCTACTACTTAAATTCAGAAAGTTGAAAACAATATACTAATTTCTCAGACATGCACTGGCTTGGTCTCTAGATTCTACAGTGTACTCATATCAAACATTAAGTCTCTAGTTTTAAAAGTGAACTATATACATTTAAGCTGGTCAAAACTATATATTGCCCTGAATAAAATCATATATTTGTTTGATTCATCTATAAATGTCTAGCACGGCACCTAAACTTCAATAAACGAGTTCATTAAGCCAAGTTCATTCATCCTTCTCTTTCTCCAGCTGTTTGACTTCAATTATCCTCAGATTCAAAATACCAAGCACTCATGACAGCACAAAATATCAAGTAAACATGCTATTATTAGATGCCCCATAATAAATCACATATCTTCCACATAATAAGCATATAAAACTGCATGTACTATAGACATTACAAACCTTTTACGAATTCATCAGAACATAAATAACGTTAATGAGCATTTCATTCAATTTTATGCTACACACTTACAGATGCATAAGATAACTATTTCAGGAATTGATTCAAAAATTAATACTATACATTTTTCAGATGAGACAACCACCCGAAAAATACATCAAAAAAGAACTAAGATTCCTTTCGCATTGGGTAGAAATCCGGTTTAACAGGATTTTTATCATCTTCAATGGCCAGGAACTGCCGAAGAATATTTGATGCACTAGTTATAGTGAACAACAATTAATCAACAACATTTAACTATTTCTTGTTACAATATCAAACTAGACAACTGAAGGGGGGAAAAAAAAGGAGACAATAAAAAATAAAAAAATTTTGCTTCACCAGAAGACTTTTGTCTAAGTTGTGCACACCAATACATATATATTGAAACCTTCCAAGGAGTGAAGAAAAACAACTGTGAGTTCAGTTACTCCTTAATTCCCAATACTAATAATGATGAAACCATCCAATTGTCGATATGTTTATCATTTTATCTCATTCCAGCCGGAACTGGCTATACCAAATACTGAAGAAATTCGGATTATTTTGCTTTCTACAAAAGACATGATAGAAGTCAATACTTGCAGCATCCAACTCAAGCTTATCAATAAACTTAACCAAAAAAGGAAAAAAAAAAAAGAAGGTTCCTTCCAAATTAAACTATGCTATCATTTTTCCATAAAACAAAAACTGTGGCTTTGCCACTCCCATATCATGGAACCAAACAAAAATAGAATTTTTTACGTGATATAAATACAGTCCTCAAAACATTCAAATCTGACAAATTTTCCATGCTCCAAAAATGTTTATTACAATAAAGTATTTCTCCGTCATAGGTTGATCAGATATTTTAACGCTATCTAACAAAAAGCAATACAAGAAAGAAATTTAGTAAATTCGTAAACATCTGTAACTCCCTTTAGAGACAAAAATCTTGAATGAAAAATGAATAAACTTAAAATTGAAGTTTCTAACATAATTCAATTGGAGATTAGATCTTCAGCAAACCTACGTCGTTTCTAATGGCTTTTAAGCTATAATATCAACGTTAAAAATTCCTTCAATCTCACATTAATTTTAAAGAAAATAAGGATAACGTAAAATAAAATTAAAAAAAAAAAGAGCAATAGTCAATTAACATCAATAAATACAAAAAAATAACAAATAAAGAACTGAAATAAATACAGAGAAGAATACCCTCATCTCTGTGTTGCCGAAGAAGGCATCGAAGAGCTTGCGAAAAGTCTGACCCATGCCTTTTCAATTTTTGATTCTCTCTCTACAAAAATTGACTTCTGATTTTGATTCTTCGGTGTTCTTTGGGTTTCTAATTTCTCCCTCTATCTAACAAAAAGCTGAGAAATTTGGATTTTTAGAGAAGAGAAATTCCTAGTAGTTGAGAATGATGATCAAATTAAAAGGAAAGTGTTTTGAGAGAGAGAGAAAAGGTCGCGTTTGTTTGCTCAAGGAACGAAGGCTGATTTGCCTTTTTCCTTTCTTTTGAAGCTGTTTCGTGGTGGAACTGTGGAAGAAGTAAGCGGAAAGGGAATATGCATGATTCGATTAAATAAGATTTAAGATACTATATAATTAAATTTAAATACTAATATTATTATTTGGTATGGATTTAAGCAGTGATTTTAAGTATCCGATTTCTTAATTAGATTATAAATAGTAATTTTTAATATTAAACTTTAATTTTATATATATTTTATAAATTTTTTATAATTAATTTAATACTTATTAAAATTATTAATTATTATAAATATTTTTAAATTCTTAATTTATTTTTTATGAATTAACTTTAATTTATTGGTTTGATTTTTATAAATAATATACATAGAAAATCATTTTAAATTCATTTTAATAGAATATTTAATAAGTACAAATATTTACTGGATAGTGTTTAAGATATTGGGTATGAATTCAGAAAATAATTTAATATTTTAATCAAGTATTTATATGATTCAAATAACTTATCAAACAATTGGATTCGAATTAAAATATTTAAAAAGTAGCAAATACTTTATGCATTTATTATGGATCAATATTTAAGGTTAATCTTATACGACCTTAAGTTCTGAAAATAGATTTTAAGTAAGTTTATAAATTATGAACTCACGTTTCCAACTCAAAAGATTTTTAAAACTTAAGATCGTATGGAATTGGATTTAAGTATCCATGACACGTTGACATTTCTAATTGTAAAAATTAAAATAAATAATAGTACTAATAATACCAATAAATAAATTAAATTTATTTTTTTATTTTTTGTGTTTCTTTCATTTAGCATTTTGTTATACTTTTGGACAGAACTTTGAGTAAAGGTTCATTAGGTAAAGTTCCTAAAGCATTTCATATAAGAAAGATTAAATTACATTTAATAATAAAAAATAGTAATATTTTTATATAAAATTGAATCAATATTGTTGAAATTAAGAAGTAAAATTATTTTTTAAATTGGAAACAAACTTATTATAATTTGAAAGTTTTATGATATTTGACATTGTAGATACACTGGAATGTAAATTCAATCACAATATGAAAAGGAATCTAAGAAAATTAATTAGCCTAATAATTTTTTTATTATTTTTGAGTTAATATGTTCATCGAAAATATATGTTGGGTAGGTAATTGGTCCTCTTACTCTATTCTTTCAGATTTAAAGAACAGACCCAAATATGCAAATAACCTTTTTGATTTTTATCTGTGTTGAAATTCAATTAAGCAACAACCAACACAAATAACTATAAGTCTAAAACACATATAGATTCAATAATTAACATTTAAAAGGTAACTAGTACATTGATTAATGTCTTTCCAGCTTTAAAACTAAAGAAGAAAAACAAATATGACTAAAAGTAGTGCACTACTCTATATTTAAACAGAAGTTCATAAGAACTCCTTACTGATTTATATGGTAATCCTAGCTATTTACCAATCCCCTGGAGTGGTAAACATAGAGATGACCTAGCTACATACAAAATCCAACAATTGCTTGAAATTTTTAGTTGAGCTACCTTCTGGTCCAACTGCTCTTTGTGCGAGTTCCTTGAGTACCTTCAAATTCTCCCTCATATTCTTCCCCTTTTCTTGTGCTAAAACTAGATCCAAACAACTTGTGACGCACTTCTTTGTGAAAATTCCACCCTTAACAATCACACCAATCTCCCAAACGTGCTCTACCATTCGTCCGTTGAGCCCATGGTCCCCAAAAAATGGCCTGACGATCATTGGCACCCCACTCGACATGCTCTCTTGCATGGAGTTATAACCACCATGGCTTATGAACACCCCAACAGCACCATGAGCTAGCACATCTATTTGGGGAGCCCATGGCACCAAGATGCCATTGGCCCTGTCTAAGAACCCATTAGGCAAATGCACCTTCGATTTGTCTCTTAAAGACCATATGAAAGGAACCCTGCTAGCTTCTAATGCTTCTGCTAGTGCTACGAGTTCATTTGGCGGTGGCGTTGCGACCGAGCCAAAGCTAATATATGCTACTGTTGCAGGCTTTTGCTTATCAAGCCATGTTAGGCAACCATAAGAATCTGGAACTGCTGGTGCTGGTGGTGTTGAAAGGGTCAAAGGTCCAACATTTAAGAAGTTCTTGAGCTTGGATTTCATATCACTTGTAACCACAGGGTCTAGTTCTTCAAAGGAGTTTATGAAGACTGCAACTGCCTCAGGTAGCACTTGCCCCATTCGGTGCACCATGCGAGAGAAGATTGATTCCAGATTTCCAAAGAGGATTCCTTCAGGCAAGTCACGGATGCGTATATTAGACATTCCAGGAATGAAGTCGAGGGTTTCATCTTCTCGCCCAACAATGCCTGTATTTACACATAGAGATACAAACCAACGCCATGAGATGAGTGATTAGAAGGCCATATACAGAGTTATAAGGTAGACGGCCATTGGGCCACTTCGCTTTTAAGTCCTTGGAATGACGAATTTAGTGGCTGATGATATAACTTCATTCAATTAAAAGCTGAATAGGAAGATTAGATTTCTTCATCAAACTCTTTCTTTAGAGTTTTGACAGTTCCTTTTTGGTATGTGTAAGATAAAAAGAAAGAAAAGAAAGGAAAATTAGATACCTCCAACTCCAAAGTTTTGCCTTATGGTATCAGTATAAACATGGCAAGAAAGGGGGCAAGCTCCTGAAACAAAAAAAGGTACCCAAGGCACACCGTTCTCCTCTGCCAGCTCCTTGCCAAACCAAAGAAAAGCGTCAGTCACCAAACAGCTCAGTTTCCTCCCTGTCTCTGCCACTGCCACTTCCAATACTCCTTTCCTGAAATTCTCCTGCGCCACTGTCATGAACAGTTCAACATCCTCCAGCGGCTCCCCAACAAAAACATAGCCCTCCGGCACTCCATCCGAAACGTTATAGGCTTTGATGTTTGGTAATATATTATTGTGGTGGGACGTGGAGAAGAGGGAGGCGTTGGATTGCGCAGTGCTGAAGAATGAAAACAAAGTGTGAGGGGCAGCAGAGGCTAGGCGGCTGGTGATGGTGAGGAGTGGAGCAGCGTGGGTGCCGAAGGGGAAGGCTAGGACCGCGACGTGAGGGCCAGACCCGGTGGCTTGCTGCAGCATGGTTGGTTAAATTATTTGTGCTGTATTAGAGGGGAGATTGAGATGGTAGTATTGCAAGGAATTCTTTCTTTTTCGCAATGAATTTGAGGTAGGTGGGCTATACAAGAGAGTACATGAGCTATTAATTAAGTGTATAATATAGGGAAACATCTTTTAATGAAGTTGCTAACAAGTTGTCTGTTACTAGTTGCAAATATTTTAGCAAACAAAATTATATAATAACGAAACTTCCTCAAGCCTCAAAAAAATGTTGTTCCCACTCTAATCGCCTATCAGTCCATTAAAAGAAAGGATTTCTCCATTATTAAAAAACAATGAACATATTCACTATTTAATTTTGAAATAATCAAACATGTTTTTCTTATGATTTGATTTTTAAGTAGTATGAAAAAAAAATTAACTAACAAATCAAAAATCAAATTTAATTACTGATCAAGTTTAAGTTCAATATGCATAATTTGCAACATACTTGTAAATCTTTTGAGTCAACAAGTTGTTTATCCATTCATTCGTCGAGTGTGCAAAGTTGCGAGGTGCCATAGAAACTTAAAACAGATACTCAATACCATCATCTTTCAAATCATTACAGTCATTAACTATAACAAAATCAAGCAAACTTTTATCAAAAAATAATATATAAAATATCATATTTAAACATAAAACATATATCAAGATTTGTCAAGTTACAAATTAATAACATTTTGCACTGTACTATTACTGTGATAAAATATATACTTAAAATTATAGATTCAAAAACCTAAAGTACGAGTATTTTATTAAACGATAACTTTCTTTAAGATAATCCGTTTTCATAATAAACCAAAATGAATATATATGTCTTATAAACCATATATTTCAAGTCAAATACGAGTAATTCAAAGTATCAAAACTTTTATTCTCCCAAATATGATTCCACATATGTAAGTAAATAACATACTCAAAGCTGGTAAATTTATAATGAATGAGTATAATCAAATAATAAATTAATTCAAAGAAAACATTTAAACTTTCAAAAAAAACCTTATTAATTATGAGTTGATATTGGAATATTCTTTAATTTTCTTTTAAAAAGCAAAAATTATGCAAAAAATGTTTCTAAATTTAATGAGCAGAAACCATACAGAAATCGTGAAAAAACTAATACAAGGTTTAAAAAGATATGGAGTATGATAACAAAGCTTTTTAAGTTTGAAATTGACATTACCTACTTATTATTATTATTATTATTATTATTATTATTATTATTATTATTATTCATTCATTCATTTTTGTAATAAACTAATATAAATACAAGCTATTGCTTAAATCTCATGTCAAATGATAATAACAATAAAAATAAATAAATAAATGTCTGTTTAAAGTTGTGCCATCTTTGAAAGAATTATCAAGCTATTGCTCTGTATTTGATTTACATTCAAATTACATCAAACATTTCTTTTTCATGATTTGGTTTTTGAGCAGCATGGGAAAAAAATCAACCAACAAATCAAAAATTAAATCCAACCACGGATCAAGTTCAAATTCAATATTACAATTTGTAACATACTTGTAGATCTTTCGACTCACTGAACTGTTTGTCCCTTCATTTGTCGAGTGCATGACGTTGCGAGGACCCTGCAAAACTTAAAAGAAACACTTAGTGTCATCATTGCAGCCATTTACTATAACAAAACTATGCAAACTTTTACCAAAAAATAGTATATAAAATATCATATTTAAACGTAAAATATACATCAAGATTTACTAGACTACAAATTAACAACATTTTGCACTATATGATAAAATATATACTTAAAATTAGAGATTCAAAAAGCTAAAGCACAACCATTTTATTAAAACGATAACTTTATTTAAGTTCATCCATTTTTGTAATAAACCAAAACGAATGCATAAGTCCTATAAATCATGTATTTCAAGTCAAATAAGAGTAATTGAAATTATCAAAATTTTTATTCTGCCAGATATGATTCCACATATATAACAAAATATCATAGTGCTAGCTGGTAAATTTATAAGCAATAAGAACAATCAAATTAATAAATTAATTCGAAGAAGATATTTAAAATTTCAAAAGACCTTATTATGAGTTGATTTTGAAATATTATTTAATTTTCTTTTAAAAGATATTTTATGAGCAGAAATCTTACAGAAATCGTGCAAAAAATGGTACTTGTTATATATATATATATATATATATATATTTGAGTTTATACATTTTTGTAATAAACTAAAATGAATAGAAACTAATACTTAAATCTCATGTGAAATGATAATAAAAAAAAAAAGTAGATAAATTTTTGATTAATGTTGTGCCATCTTTCAAAGAATTATCAAGCTACTACTTTGTATTTGATATGTATTCAAATTACATCAAACATGTCTTTTTATGATTTGATTTTCGAGCAGTATGGAAAAAAATTAATTAATAAATAAAAAATCAACAAATCCAACCACAAATCAAGTTTAAGTTTAATATATATAATTTATAACATACCTGTATATCTTTCAACTCACTGAGCTGTTTGTCCATTAATTTGTCAAGTAAGTGACACTATGAGTACCTCATAGAAACTTTTAAGAGATACTCAGTGCCATCATGTTCCAAATCATTACAGCTATTAACTATAAAAAAAATTAAACAAACTTTTACCAAAAACAGTAAATAAAATATCATGTTAAATGTAAAACATAATCAAAATTCACTAAGTTACAAGTTAATAACATTTGCACTGCACTGTTATTGTGATGAAATGTATACTTAAAATTAGAAATTCAAAAAGTTAAAGTAAACGTATTTTATTAAAACGATAACTTTATTTGAGTTCACACATTTTTGTAATAAACCAAAATGAATACATGTCTTATAAACCATGTATTTCAATTCAAAGTATTTTATTAATGCGCAACATCTATCAATATATAATTAACCACTTTAAAATTACCTGCCAATTAATCACTTTAAAGTTACCTCTCCGCCTAATGGTGGTACTTAATTAGATTTTGATACATTGATTTTGGAAATTCATGTTTTCTTTGGTTAGAAATTTCTAAATTTAGTAAGGAAGATTATTTTCTCTTTTCAATTTGCTTTCCTAAATTACCGAAGGCAAGTGAAGGGAAACTCACTACAAGTACCTCATATATGTATGAGTTCCACCCATCTTCATTAGCAGTATTAAACACGAATAAATAATGAGATAAAATTAGTACATTAATTAGCAATTAATATGTGTTTTTTTATTTAAACTCAATTATTATGCTTCTACTTTTTCTTGGAAGCAATTCTCTGATACATAATGAGAATAATTTAAACATTCGATAGATAAAACTATAAGGCATGGCACTAATAAACCTTACAATTCCATGCATCAATTGTAGGCATAATTTTGTCTAAATATTAAGACAACATTTGGTACTTTACAATGTAATATGATTACAGATAGGTGACGTTTGGTACTTTACAATACAATATGATTGCAAGTAATGTGATTGCAGGGAACATAATATTACAGTGTTTGGTATACAAGTAAAATAATGATTAAAATGCAAAAAAGATAATATTGCAGCGTTTGGTTTATAAGTACTTTACTGGGAATGTAATGTTAATTTTCAAAATTACCCTTAGTTATTAAAACACAAATTTAATATATTTATATTTGTTATTATTAATTTTTATATAATATCATTTCTTAAATATATTTTTAATATCATATGTTTTATTTTTATTTATTTTTATAATTTTATATATTTTATTTTTAATATATTTATATTTTTTATTATTAATTTTTATATAATATCATCTCTTAAATATATTTTTAATATCATATATTTTATTTTCATTTATTATTATAATTTTATATATTTTATTTTTATTTTTTAATATATATTTTTATATTATATATTTTATTTTAATTTGTTTTACCTATCTAATATAAATTTTAATTTTTTATATTTTATTTTGTTTTAATTTTTGATTATTATATTATATATTTTATTTTAATTATAATATTATAAACTAATTTTAATAAGGTAATAAAGTTGAAGGTTAAAATTATCTTTAAAAATATTACAGAGTGTAATGTAATGTGATTACATTGGTTTTGAACTGCAATCACATTACATCCCTTGGCTGTAATGTGATTGTATTGCAATCTTACATTGCAGTGGTCTGTTGTAAAACAAACACTGTAATTTAATTGGACACATTGCAGGAAACGTGCTCTCACTTCCCTTATACCAAACGTTATCATAATGTGATTGTAAATAATGTGATTATAGGGAAAATAACATTACAGTGTTTAGTATACAAGTAAAATAATAATTAAAATGCAATGAAGATAACATTGTAACGTTTGGTTTATAAGTACTTTGCTTAAAATGTAATGTTAATTTTCAAAATTATCCCTATTTATTAAAATGTAAGTTTAATATACTTATATTTTTTATTGTTAATTTTTATATAATATCATCTCTTAAATATATTTTTAATGTCATATATTTTTTTTCATTTCTTATTATAAACTTATGTATTTTATTTTTATTTTTTTAATATAATTTTTTATTATATATTTTATTTTTATTTCTTTTACGTATATTATATAAATTTTAATTTCTTATATTTTATTTTATTTTAATTTTTTATTCTTATATTATATATTTTTTTAATATTTTTTATTTTAATTATAACATTAAAAAATATTTTTAACAAAGTAATAAAGTTAAAAGATAAAAATATCTTTAAGAACATTGCAAAGTACAATGTAATGTGATTGTATTGATTTTGGACTGTAATCAAATTACATCCCTTGATTATAATATAATTACATTACAATCTTACATTACAATAGTCTGTTACAAAATAAATACTATAATATAATTTAATTATACACATTACAAGAAATATGTTTTCACTT